GGCCTGCCAAGCTTTCATCACAGGCAATCGCTGACGCCGGCATCCGGAGAGCCGCAAACGTTGAACTTCTTCTCAGCTTGAGACCCTGCTGGAGGATAAACCTCCGACGTACTTCGCAGCAACATCCAGAGTCACCCCCGCGCAACGATGAGGCGGTAGACCATCGCGTGGGAAGTTGAGCTATAGATAACTCAAAAAATGAAAACGTGCAAAAGGAAATCCACTTAAACTTGAATGATTAATGGAAAAGATAGAAAGTCTCTTTTCACTACCATTTCTCGGTAATGGGGCCAGATTTGAACGCGATAATGCAGTGCTATCAAATTTTCCAGCTACTGTTTCATCCCATATGGTGTGAAGGAGCTTTCAGAAAAACTATCACTTTTAAAGATGGCTACATAAAACTACTATAAATTACTCTAGACTATTAGCTCTAGATTACTGGTTTGATGCCCTGGCATCAGAAACATAAATAAAATTCTCGAAGTGACGATATCCACAGGATTTCAAAGGATTTACTCTTTAGATGCAGGCAACTATGGACCAACGCTTACAGCGTTAGCACGTGGTGGTTGGCGAATAGCCATATTCCACCCGCCGGAGACCAGTTCAACGTTTCTCGACTACGCTGATGAAGCATTTGCTTTACCAATACATCGTGAACAAATCGAAGAGGTATGACTAGCTGTTCGATGATGTTTTACAACTTCTTCAAAAAATTTGTTAGGGTCAGCAAGTCGGGAATTTGCCGTATGTGTTGAATTTCCCCTCTTTACCACCTCCACAGCAACGAGAAGATTGCGTTACGGCTATGGCTCAAGATCTTCGACAGAAGTAAGAAGCATATAATTTTCAATGTTTTTAAGACTTTGAAGACGTCATATTGCCGAAGTTAGAGGCGTTCATTAGTTGGAATTGACGTGCTCAACTGAAATGAGCTGTAACACTCTTTCAGCAGAAGAAAATTACAGATAGAACAGAAGAAGAATAAGAACATTCTTAGAAATTCTCAATCTTAAGGTTATGGTAATAGACATCAAGAAATTCCACAATGAATTGCAGTACAAGCCATTTTAGCTTATCAATTAAGCCATATTATCTTTTTAGAAGTGAGCACATATCTCTTCAATGTAGCGTTTTTCTTTAAAAATTACGAATCTTCGTACGGTCTTGTGCTATCAGAAGCCAGTTTCCTATTCCAAAAGATTTTCGAAACTCAGAAAAGAAAGTAGTCACAAGACAGGCTACTTTCTTTTCTAATAAGCAACCCATTGCTTTTGCACGTACCGGAACCATTACAGTTCAAAACAAGCTTGCTGAACCCTCTTCTTTACAAATCCATTTAGTCTTCATCGCAGCAATCTACTGTAGGATACATCACTATTGCCTGCTGGTTCAGGCATTATTTGCTACTTACAGGTGCTCGTTTCTTGAGTGCACCTTGTGCATATAGTACATAAAGTCTTCAAACCTGTCTCGCTCTTCCCCCCCCTCCCCTCGTACATGGATTTTTTTTTTGCTGTATGCGTTTTGATTTACAGCTGCATTTGTAACCTCGAATTTCTATGAATAAGCGAGCACACCTTATCTTTTTGTTGAGAAAAAAACTCCCTTTTTTGTCTTGCAATAGGCAATGATGCCTTAATTACGAGCAATTGAGAAGAAGATTAGCGCAGAAGAGCACAAAAGGCTCTTCAATGTAAAAAAA